GAGTGATGGAGGGTTTTAGGCACTGTGCCAGCCACTAATTTCCCTTGTCTCCCACCCCTCTCAATGTGGCTCATATGTGGCTCTAGATTCTATTTCAGCTTCAAGATGGCACAATATTTCCTCAGTAACTGAAGGGAAACTATTTCCTTAGAAAAAAATGCATCAGAGGCTCAGAGACCTCCTCTTCGAGGAGAGGCAGAAGTGGGTGGCTGTTGACACTAAACCTGGATAAAACCACCCTTTTTGCTGGGCCTACAGAGGAGGACATCTAGACCTTGACCTTCCAAGCCAAGAAAGGACAAACAGGCTCAGAGGTAGGAATGCATAGCCCTCAAGGGCAGACCCACATCCTGCCACAAGGCCCACAATAGAACCCCTTTCTTCAACCTATGGGGACCCTTCTGGAACGTGGTGGGGTGCTCCAGGAGGAATAACCCCAGCCATAGCCCTTCTATGAGTTTGCAGTTCAGTGAAGAAGGCAGGCAGGACTTTTGGCATCTGAGACTAGGTCTCAGAATAGAATGATTAAAATCACCACCCTGGGCTCACTTAGCCCCTGTGAACCTCAGTTTGTCCATCTGTAGAATAGGATTAGTAATATTAAATTTACAGGGTTATGGTGAGGAAGGAATGAAGATGATGCATCCCAATGCTTAGTTACTTTTTTTTAGAACTGGGGGTCTCACTCTGTTGCCTAGGACGGTCTCTAACTCCTGGCCTCAAGTGATCCCACTTCTGCCTCCCAAAGTGCTGAGATTACAGGCATGAGCCACCATGCCCAGCTCCCATTTTGTTATTTCAAATGGATCAGGGTCTTGTCACTGTCCTGTGGTCCCTTATTTACTTTTTCAAAGTCTGTTTTCTCATCTCGCAGATGGGGAGAGAAGACCTGACTTAGAAGGTGGTTGTGTGAATGAACTGAGATGAGGTGCCTAAAGGCACAGAACAGAGCTTCACAGTTGCACTAAGCAAGTGAGGTTCCCGCGCCCTGCTCAGCTTCATTGTGTGTTATCTACGTACCCACCCAAGATCAGCTTTGGGGGCCTGCAGGAGCAGCCACCCACTTAGAAAGTTAGGGAGATGCTCAGAGGAGGCCTTTGGTTGGCTTGAATCCTTAGGAAAGGAAGGTTCCAGACGACAGGACTTCAGATAATTCAGTCAGGTTTTGGGACAGTGGGGGCAGATGTTTCTTGGTACAGAAGAGACACCTTCATGTTTCCACGCATGGGCCTTAGTAGAGTTGGATCTTAGCAAACTCCCTTAGCAAACACCCATAGCATGGTGTCTAGACCAACCCATACCCAACCCAGCAGCAGCCAAAGTTGTTAGAAGCACAGACCTAAGTGTATTTTACATGGGTGAAAATTTCCTTTAATTCAGTTTTTAAATAAGTGAAAAAATTTAAACAACAACCAAAAAGGCATACAGAGGTCAGCCGAGGAGATGGCCTCCTTTAGTCTGCGGCTTATTTCCCGGTCATCCTGGCTGTTGGATGCCAGACTAAGCTGAGTGTGGGTTACCCTGTGGCCTGGAGTTGCCCAAGGCTGTCTGTGGGGCTGCTGTTCTGGGGCTGCTTGGCAGGCTTTGCTATCCCTTTCCCTTAGGACATCATTCCTCCCCTCCATGAGGCTGACAATGAGAGCACCCTTCCCTGCTCTGCACTCCAGGTCCAGCTCCCTTGACCCTGACCTTTTCCTTGCCTCAGCTCATGGTGTCTGTTTGGCCATCTAGGTCATTCTAGAGATCTTTCAAATTTTTTTTTTTTTTTTTTTTTTTTTTTTTTGCCAAGCTTGGATTTCTTTTTTTTTTTTTTTTTTTTTTTGTGACCGTTTCTTGCTCTGTTGCCCAGGCTGGAGTACAGTGGTGCGATCTTGGCTCACTGCAACCTCCGCCTCCCAGGTTCTTGCAATTCTCCTGCCTCAGCCTCCAGAGTAGCTGAGACTACAGGCGCATGCTGCCATGCCCGGCTAATTTTTTGTATTTTAGTAGAGACGGGGGTTTCACCGTGTTGCCCAGACTGGTCTTGAACTCCTAAGCTCAGGCAATCCACCAGCCTTGGCCTCCCAAAATGCTAGAATATAGGCATGAGCCACCACGCCCAGCCTCAACTTTTATTTATTCCACATTTCCTATGGCGAAACAATTATTGCTAGAGTCTTTGGCCAAGATCAACTTGGAGGTCTGTGAGTCCTCCTTGGGACCCATTGTGGAGCAAGAGTGATTCCTTGTGTATTTTTGTTTTTGAGATGGAGTTTTGCTATTGTTGCCCAGGCTGGAGTGCAATGGCACAATCTCAGCTCACCATAACCTCCGCCTCCTGGGTTCAAGTGATTCTTCCACCTCAGCCTCCCGAGTAGCTGGGATTACAGACAGGCGCCACCATGCCCGGCTAATTTTTGTATTTTTAGTAGAGACAGGGTTTCACCATGTTGGCCAGGCTAATCTCAAACTCCTGACTTCAGGTGATCCGCCTGCCTCGACCTCCCAAAGTGCTGGGATTACAGGCATGAGCCATCACGCCTGGCCTCCCAACCAGTTTAATCAGAACCTTTACACAGCAAAATAAAAATTGCATTTTTTCCAGTTTTAGCTAATAGAAACTGTACAGCAGGCCGACAATGTATGGCCAATCACTCCCTCCTTTGGGGGAAACTACTCTTTCACTCTTTAAACCATCAGATTCTCTCTGAGGCTGCCAAACACAGGCCCCTAACCCCTGAAGGGAGGGCATGTGACATAAACTGACCAATCACATCATCACATCTGCCTGGACATAGTGATTTGGCAGAGGGAAAGGTATGTGACCCAGACTGGACAAAGTCTTTCCCGATAATTTTATGACTTAGAGATGGAGGAGTGGCTGCCTCCATCCTTTGCCTGGAAACAAATGCCATCCAAGAAAGCCCAAGATGATTAAGCAGTAAGTAGAAATGAAGAAGTGGAAAAGAGAGTACTATCTCCACAGTGTCCATCTGTCCCTTTCTCTGATTTGTTTCCTTGAAATAAAAGATCCCTTTTCATTTTAAGTTTGTTGGAATTGGGTTGCAAAATTGAAAAAGACCTGAGGGGATGATTCTGAGATCACTGAAGGCTCAACAATAGTAGTTGGTGACATCCATATTTATACCCGATTAGGCACACACATACATTTGCACAGGCTTGGTGTGGGCCAGGGGAACACACCCTTGGCAGGAGCTGATTCTATGTTTGCTATTGAGAAGTGTGGCTGTCAAAACTATCAGTCAGCTTGGCGTGATGGCATGTACCTATAATTTCAGTTACTTGGGAGGCTGAGGCAGGGGGATTGCTTGAGCCTCAGGAGTTTGAGACCTGCCTGGGCAACATAGTAAGACCTCCAACTCAAACACACACACACACACACACACACACACACAACCCCAAAAGAAAAACCAAACAAAAAGCAACCTACCAGCCCACAGTGTTGACTTTGCTGAACACTCTCTCCCTGACCTTGGGCAATCACTCTCCAGACCTCAGTCAGGATGTCCAACCATCCTGGTTTGCCAGTGATTGAGTTGTTTCCAGAGACTTTCGTTGCTGAAATCAGGACAGTCCCTGGCAAACCAGGACAGTTGGTCATCCTAGCTACGTTCTGTAAGAATGAGACTGGATTGGTCAGAGATGGGAAATTCTGCCAAATGCTGTGCTCAGGCAGACATTGCCAACTGACCTGGCTCTAATTCTTGTGAGTCTAGGTATACCCTCACAATCCTTAGCACTATGGCCAGCTGGCCAGCTACTGTCAATCAGAGTTGGTACCTATTTGCAATCCTTTCACTGAGTTTTTGACAAGCTTACATTTTAAGGATCAGGATTTATTGAGGACTAACTGTTTTTTTGTTTGTTTGAGATGGAGTCTTACTCTGTCACTCAGGCTGGAGTGCAGTGGTGCCATCTCAGCTCACTACAACCTCCACTTCCTGTGTTCAAGTGATTCTCCTGCCTCAGTCTCCCGAGTAGCTGGGACTACAGGTACGTGCCATCATGCCTGGCTAATTTTTATACTTTTAGTAGAGACGGGGTTTTGCCATGTTGACCAGTCCAGCCTCAAACTCCTGACCTCAGGATATCAGTCCGCCTTGCCCTCCCAAAGTGCTGGGATTACAGGCATGGGCCGCAATGCCCGGCCAGAGGACTAACTTTGAATCAAACTCTGCTATAAACCCCATGTCAGACTTTCTCCAGTTTGGGCTAAACGACTTCCTTAGAACTTGTGGACCTTATTTTTTTGCAGCTGATTGCACACTAAGTATATGAACTGGCAATCGATTACTCAGCTTGTTCTTTAGAAACTGAAATTTATTGGGCTCCCATTATGTGCTAGACCCACATAAAGGCTTTCAGGCTAACACTGCAAACTTAGGAGTGCCTGCATTTTGTAAACAAGGAAACTGAGGTTTAGTTTGGTCCAGTTCTTGTCTAAGTCCCCAGCCAGCAGTTAGGGTAGCTGAGTGGGATCCCATCTGACTCCAATAGCCACGATCTTTCCACCATGACTCGATTGGATTCTTTGGTCCATTTCCACTTCAGTCTTCAACTTGCACAGCCTACACCCCTGCCCGTCGATTTAGGGACGAAAAGTCCCCAAGGACTTAGGTTTCCTCACGTTCAAATGACAATCTGGGGTTACTCCGTGCATCTGGGGAACCCAGAAGTTCCAGAAGGCCGAGGAAGGGCGGAAGAAAAGGTCTGCGCGGGCTACTCCCGTCTGCTAAAGGGCAGGCGGATCCCCTCAGGGCAGTTTCACGCCGAGTGGCCGCAGTCGGGCAGGGGAAAGAGGGCGGCGTTGCGGAAGAAGCCCCGGGCCGCCGCAGCCGCTCTGCTCCTCCAGCGGGCGGGTGGCGCATGCGCGGCGCGGGCCGCGGAGTTGTGAATGGTGCGTCTTGTTTGCCAGAGTTGGAGGCGGGCGGGCGCGCTAGGAGGCGGGGTGGAGCCGGCGGGGGCGGGGTGAGTGGTGAGAGGAAGTGGCGGCGGCGGCGGCGGCGGCGGCCGGGGGCGGCGAGAGCTGGGGCTGCTCGAGCTGCAAGCAACGGGTGAGGCGCCGGCGACGTGGGCTGGGTTCGAGCGAGCGGCGGCGCCTCAGACTCCCCGGAGCGGGAGTCTACGCGGGCGGGCGCCTGAAACAAAGGGAAGCGGGCGTCCGGGCGCCGCGGGTGGGCGGTCAGTTGGTCAGCGCGGAGCCCAACAGCGGGTGCCCGTGCAAGCTCCGAGCGCAGCCGGCCGGCGCGGCCTCAGGGCGGGAAGATGCCGCGGGTCGTGCCCGACCAGAGAGGCAAGTTCGAGAACGAGGAGTTCTTCAGGAAGCTCAGCCGCGAGTGTGAGGTGAGGCAGGCGGGTGGCTCGGAGGCCGCGGCGCGCCCGGACTGGGCCGGGCGGAGAAAAGTTTGGGCGGCGCGGTCCCCGAGAGGCGCGGTCGGCGCGCCCGCGGAGGGGCAATCTCGCCGGGGCGGCAGTCGCCCGCAGCCTCTGCTTGCCCTTATCGGCGCCGCGCGGGGCGGGCGGGCGCACGGGCGGCGCCGCGGATTTGGCTTCTGATTTCGGGCCGTCTTGCCTTGCAGATTAAGTACACGGGATTCAGGGACCGGCCCCATGAGGAGCGCCAGGCGCGCTTCCAGAACGCCTGCCGCGACGGCCGCTCGGAAATCGTAAGTCGGCGGGCCCGGGGCGCGCGCGGGTCACTTGTTGCGCGGGGCCGCTACGGCCCAGGCCGGTTCCGGACGGTGGCGCGGCTCCCGGAACTGAGCGGGCGCCGTCTCACTTCCTACTCGGGATTCAAAATGCGAAACCGGACGCCGCGGGTCGGTGCTCGCTGGGAGACACTTTCCCTGGGGCCTGCCGCGGTGGCGTGTGTTGGCCAACGGAGCACCGCGAGTTGAGCTCGAACCCGAGCCAGACTAAACAAGGGACCGGCATTGTTTAGGCGGCAACACCAAGGAAGGTTTCAGGGTTATTTGTAGCAAGCAAACCCCCATTCGTAAAAAGAACTGGAACTTCATTCAAGGTTGGCGATAGTTCGTTTCTTAGAAGGTGGTAATTCTTTTTATCAAGCGATCTCACACATCGCAGAGAAGAAATCTTTCCTCTATTTATTGTCCTAATAGAGAGAGGTAGGGGGAGAAAGCCCTAAAAGTGTCGTTTTCTTAGAATGTTAAGCCTTGGGAGAATTAGAAATCATTATCCCCATGTCCCAAATAGGGCTGCTGTTCCTAAAAACTGCACAGATGGGCGAAACCCATGGTTGATCTCCTTGAGGTCCTTGTTTTAGGAGGTAGATTTGATGTATCTTTACCAGATGCTGGGTTGACAAAAAAAAAAAAAAATCCAAGGGTCCTAGTTGCTCTCATCTCCTTTTGGTTTGCTCTGTTGGAGGTGCTGATGAGGAGGGAGTGGTAGGAAGAAACAAATAAAAGAGGTTATTTTTTTTGTTGTTGAGACGGAGTTTTGCTCTGTTGCCTGGGCTGGAGTGCAGTGGCGGGATCTTGGCTCACTGCAACCGCTGTCTCCGGGTTTAAGCAACTCTGCTTCAGCCTCCCGAGTAGCTAGGATTACAGGCGCCGGCCACCACGCCCGCGTAATTTTTGTGTTTTTAGTAGAGACGGGGTTTCACCATGCTGGCCAGGCGGGTGTCGAACTCCAGATCTCAAGTGATCTGTCTGCCTGGGTCTCCCAGAGTGCTGGGATTACACCATGCCAGGCCTGATTAGTTTTAAAAAAGTTGAAGCACTGGTTTAATGGAATCCTGTTACTGCTCAGTGCCTTGGACTCAATTGCATGGGCAGAGACTTGAAGCTTAGTGCGATTTGAATTTGGGGTAACAGGAGGAAGACATATTGGAAATGTAGTCCTCCCATCCCCTTTATAAAACTAGTTTATTTTTATTCATATATAATTCATATACCGTAAAATCCTCCCTTTTCATCACTGAACACAAATTTATTTTTAAAGAATATTTTGATATTTTAAGTGAAGTCCCTTTAGAATTATAATAGTGAGAAAATATTGGTTAAATTTATCAGCTGCTCCTGAATATTTGTCATAAATGCATGTTATGAAAGAAAATTTCAAGCTTTTAGCCCACTTGCAAGTTTCTTTTTTTTTTTTTTGAGACGGAGTTTTGCTCTTGTT